AAGTGGTCAGCTCGGAAGCCTTGTACATATGAGAAACACTAAAATGGCTCAGTAGGCTGGCCTGCTGATATGTGTGTATACTAATAATAATTAGAAGAGGTATTGATTTGAGGAACACTCAGGATTGGGGAAGACAGAAAAGTGGAAGTTATGTCAATAAAGAGCTCACATGTGAAATTCTCCCCCTCCCAAAAAAAATTTTTTAATGTGCACTTGGCTTTGACACTTGTCTTAGTTTTGTTTTTTATCACTGTGGCAAAGCACTATGACCAAAAGCAACTTGGGGAGGAAAGAGTTTATTTCATCAAGAAAACCTGTAGCCGATCATGAAGGGACCTCAAGGCAGGAACTCAGGCAGAGGTCCTGAAGGAACACTGCTTACTGACTGGCTCCCCAGGGTTTGCTCAGTCTACTTTCTTACACACAGAGAGCCACCTGTCCAAGCATGGTTATTATTAATCAAGAAAATGAACCCCCAGACTTGCCCACAGGCCAGTTCAATGGAGGCCATTCCTCAACTAAGGCTCTTGTCCCAAGTGGTTCTAGTTTGTGTCAAGCTGATAAAAACCTAACCAGTGCACCTTTGTTCCTAGTGCCCTCACTTATTACTTCTTAGTAATAAATATAGCGATTTGACTTATAACCACTACTGCAAGGTTCTCGACAAGGCTTGTGTGCATGTGTGTGTGCATGGCATAGACACAGGTGCACAGAGGGGGATGATTTGAGCCCTTTTGAAGGTTTGAAAACTCACAAGGACCATAGCCAAAGGCTGGTATTCTTCATTCAGAGCCATCACTGAGAAGGGTCCCCCGAGTCAACCATTTTCCCCTCTGGGCCTCTGTTTCTTCCACCTATCAAAAGAGTAGGCTTGGTGTTTTTCCAGTCTCGCCTGCAGAGAAGGTGGTGAGGGATTCAGTGTGGAAGATGCCTTATGGTCCTCTTCTCTGTGAACTTGGGCATCTGCCAATAGTCAGCTCAGCGAAAGGATTCTCTCAGGAATAAGAAAAGAGGTCAGAGTTGAGGGGCAGCTGAGTCTGCTCTGATCCTGGAGATCATTGGAAGTGCACAACGAGTCTGTTGTCGCTGTGAGGGGATTCCCTTTGCCCCTGGAGGACCCTGGTAAGCCAGCCCCGATGCTGCTGTTACTCTCCTGCCTTCTGCCCTCTTCCTCTGCCTTGTGCCCAGCCACTGGGTTCTCTAGCCTTGACCTCAAATGTGGCGCATTATTCACCACCAGGAACAAAGATGTAGTTTTTGACATGGGCCTTGGGGTGCAGCTGGAAGACCTGTGGCCTTGACCGGGAGCAGTGTCCATGGAGCCTTCCCACAGAAGAGCTGGTGGGTGTGAGTGTCTGCCTCCGTGGACTGCCAGCTTCTTCTATCCCGGGCTATCAAGGGGAGAGGAACTGGCCTCTGACACAGAATCAGGGAGAAAGCAGATTAAGACACAATGCTTAGATTAACCGAGACTGCCCAGGGCTGGGCAGTACAATTGTGCTGGAGCCAGCGGGTCCTGCATGATCTGAGGACTAGATACAGATTCCCTGGGTGAGTCTCCCTTCCGTGGCCAGTAACTGTAGACTCTGCCACTAAGAGGAGTTGCCAGGGCTACACAGGAGAGCAGCACACTGCCGCTTGGTGAGTGCGTGTCTGTGATCATCACCCTCACCGCCATCCTCACTGTGATAATGGCAGCCATGATGACCATGACATTGATTGTGAAAGAAAGAAGCTGATAATGATGGTCATGAAGATAATTTGAGTAATGCCGATGATGGTTGTGACTGTCACCACCACTGCCAAATTCTAAATGTATATCATCATCAACATCACACTGCCATACCGTCAGGATTGCCACCATCACCGTTGTCACACAGACACCAAAATCAACATTGTCACTACTACGATCCTAGGAACCATGGCCCTCCTTACCAATCACAACTATCATCATCACCATCACCACCATCACCACCATCATCACCACCACCATCATTACCATCACCAGCATCACCATCACCACCATCACCACCATCACCACCATCATCACCATCA